GAGAGAGAGAGAGAGAGAGAGAGAGAGAGAGAGAGAGAGAGAGAGAGAGGGAGAAAAGAGAGAGAGAGAGGAGAAAGAGGGGAGAGTGAGAGAGAGAGAGAGAGGTAGAGGAGAGAGAGAGAAGAAAGAGAGGAGAGAGAGAAAGAGAGAGAGGAGAGATAGAGACAAAGAGAGAGAGAGAGAGGGGGGAGCGAGAGAGAGAGAGAGAGAGAGGAGAGAGAGAAAGAGAGAGAGAGAGAGAGAGAGAGAGAGAGTCCCTTGCTGTGTCTCTCTATCTTGCTCTGCTCTTTCCTGTGTTGGTGGTGGTGATAGGAACCAGACGTCCCACCTCTAAAAGCTCCCTCACAGAAAGTTCCTACATGAAATGGTTATGAATTCACTGCCTGATGACTGAGACACTGTTTTATGATAGTTTAGAGAACTTAAACTCCATTCATGGTGGAGGGATACATGCAGGGCGCTGTGAGGCAAAATAGTCCCCAAAGAAAACTTATTATTTCAGATTTTCCACTATTTTCCATCATCAACATTCCATATAAACTCAGAAGACTCATGTAGGTTCACTGGTGGTTCTGGATAGTAAATAAAATGTCTATATCTGTGTTGTAGTCATGGCGACCCCTGGCTCCCATCACCACCAATTTAGAAAAATGCCCCTTTAAGTATCTCCAGTAGGCTTGATTATGTGATTTCTGACACACTGGTATCTGTAAACGTGGAATAAAGTTTTGTAGCATAGTTAAAAACATTAGCAGCCACCTGGAACCTGCAGACATAAGTAAAGACGCTAACTCCGGACGCTGAACGGAGCGCAGTGGTTGAAGCACTTTCCGAACTATCGCTTTAATTGTCAAGCGCAGGGCCTCTGAGCCTCGGCGCTGAAGGCCTTCATCTCCTGGGATTTTTTTAGCCTTTGTTTCCTCTGTACATAAATCCTGCGTCTTCCTCTCCACTTTGTGTGGAAGGAGCTCCGACCCCCTCCGGCTCCTTTGTCCTGGTGGGTGTGTGGGGCTGTGGGGGCTGGGAGGTTACGACCCGCCGATCAGGAGCAGGAATGAATGGCCGCGGCCCGTCCGTGGTGGACGCCGGCACCTTCTGCTCCCACATGAGGCTGGCGTGGAGAATCAGCAACTGCTCACGGTGTGATATCAGTGGTGCTGATCGGTGACTATTCACTTTCACCCTGTTAGCAGCGTTAGCTTCGGTTTACAGGTGAAAATCACTGCAGAGGCCAGAAAGCTGTGAGTCTGAATGGTGTGTGAGCTTTTATCTCTGACCGAATGTAGCGTTTCTGCTGCTCTCTGGTCACTTTCTAGACCTTCGGGGCCAAAAACAGGTTCTGCTGGAGGATTTGAAGGTGTAAATAAATAAACGCAGGTCATTTAAAGGGCCACACCGTGGAAAACTGAGCGCTCTTCACTTTTCTGAAATAAAAGAGCTGGACGAGGTGCGAAAAGAGTCACTCCTACGAACGCTCCGTATACACAAACCAAACTGCTGTTATACACTGTGAGGTCACAAATAAACAACACATTATTTAATCTCCTTATATATCCACACATTCAGCCTACAGCAGCCTGGCCCCGCCCACTCGTGCTGGGGGTTTCAGCCTCAGGCTGCTTTTTGAATGAGGCACAGCCAATCAGAATGGAGCTCATTCACACAAATCAGTCTTAAAGGCACAGTATCAAAAAATAAACTGGTTAATTTTAAAGGATAAAGAGAGGCTGGAAAAAATGGGCATGTGGAAATGAATTATGGGTGTTTTTGGTTTATGAAACTATAAAACTCATTAAAATGTTCTGAAAATAAAATGCAAGAAAAACGTAGGATATGGGCCCTTTAAAGCTAACCTCCATTACACACGCTGGATATGAACCTGAGACGGCTGATTGATTGATAGATAGATAGATAGATAGATAGATAGATAGATAAATAAATAAATAAATAAATAGATAAATAACAGTATCTACATTTAAACACAATCGTTTTTAAAATTTATTTTCATTTGGATTTGCTCACTGTTTATTTTGTTAATGTTTGTCTTTTATTTTGTAACATAATGGTTTATTTTATTTTAATGTTGTGTTATTTTATTACTTTGCATTGTATTTTTGTGTTCATTTCATTGTATTTTTATTGCGTTTCATATAACTAACTAAATAAATAAATAAATAAATACAGTTTCTAAATTTAAACACAATCATTTTTAAAACTTATTTTAATTTGGATTTCTGTCACTTTTATGTTGTCCATTTTTATGTATTTTATTTTGTAACATTATGGTTTATTTTATTTTATTTTACTTTTGTATTATTTTACTACTTTGCGTTGTATTTATTTGCCTTTATTTCATCGTATTTTTATTGGTTACTTTCCAAATAAATAAATAAATAAATAAAAATACTATTTTTCTGCATCGTTTGTCTTTGCCGGGTGTTGGTGGTTATGTTAATGAGCTCGGTGGGCGGGGCTGATACATAGCGCCCCGCCTCCCATTCATTCACAAGTTTCACGCGCGCTGTGAGAACCAGAACACACACATACACACACAGAGCAGCTGCACGAGGGACTGAAGCAGGAGCGCATGCACGGTGAGTGAGTGAGAGCGCGGGAGGTTGTTGTTAGTGCTAGATCAGTTTCTTTAATTGCTCTTTATTAATCACTCTGCTGGTGATGATGATGGTGAGTTTGAGGGTGTTTATTTGGTGACCGTGTGTAGACCAACATGTTTTTTGCCCCTCCCCCCAGGGGCAGGATATGAGGGGCAAATCTACTGACCCCTCCAACTGCCCACCATGTCCACTACATCTAAGAGTTAAAGTGATAGTTCAGCTGGAACCCAAACCCAGCTGGTTCACCTCCTCGGTCCACAGTGTAGTTGGTCCACCTGGACACGTTGGGTTTCTGAAGTTCGCCTCTTTAGTTTATAGCGCTGGAGCTACACGGCTAATGTAGCTAACAAGTAATGGGGGCTTATAGTCACCAGGTTAGCATCCTGCAGACTGCAGGCCTGCATCACTGCCCAGTCATCCAGACTTGTTTGTGTGGTTTCTGGTGCTGTTCTAGGTAAACATGGACTAAAGCACGGATAGAGTGCAGTATCAAAGATGGCTGCTGCTAGGCATGGAGTTAGCGCCATGCTAATAGGTGGGGAGTCGGCTAGTTAGCGGGCGTTTGTGAAGCCATGCTGCAGTCTAGTTTAAAATGATTAGCATTTTCACTGAAAACTGCCCCTCACATTTATCTAGAACAGAAACATTAACAGCTTCTACAGCTACAATTCAGTTCAGCTCATTTGGTTTGATTAATTTTTGGAACATTAAGTGGAGAACAGAAACGGATATTTAGCTTTAATTTTTCCAGCTGGTTTTAATTTTAATTAATTAGTAGTTTTGGGACTGTATTGATGTCTAATTAGCGTTAGCTGGTCTAGTTACTTTTAGCTAATTTCCCAGATGAGCTTTAGCTTTTCCAGTTACCTTTTATTTGCTAACTTTCCCCCAGTTAGATTTAGCCAGCAATCGTAGTGTTGGCTTCAAGTTAGCTTTAGCTTCTTGTTACTTTTAGCTGCTGTTAGTTGTAGTTTCTCCAGAGTTATCTCACTTTAGCTTTAGCTTCCTTTTATGTATTTTTATTTATTTATTTTATTGTGTTCAGTTAGCTTTAGCTTTCTGATTACTTTTAGCTGCTATTAACTTCAGTTTCTCCAATTAGTGTTTGCTGATTTTTAGCTTTAGTTCCTGACTAGCTCTAGTAGTTTTGGCTTCCAATTAGCTTTTCCAGATGCTGCTGTCAGCTTTAGATTCTCTAGTTAGCTTTAGCCGATAGCAGACCTAATTTCCTAGCTTAGCTTGTTTGCTTACTAAGTTCTGAACGTAGTTTTGGTATCCAGTTAGCTTTAATGTCTCTTGCTGCATTTGGCTGGTATTTTCTCTAGCTAGCTTTAGCTTTACCATGTGTTTGGTGCTCAGTTAGCTTTATATTCTCCAGTTACAATAAGCTGTTATTAGCTTTAGTTTCTCCAGCTTTAGTATTAGCTTTAATTCCCCTACCTGGATTTAGCTTGACTTATTTAGTTTTAGCATTTAGCTTTTTCAGAAGCTGCTGTTTAGCTTTAGTTTCTCCAGTTAGCTTAAGCTAGTGTTAGCTTTAATACAAATAAACTGAAGACTTGACTCACTTAGCCTTGGCTTTTTTATTAGCATCACTATCACACCATGTTTATTACCTGGCTCTGTTGCTATGTTTACATATGTACATGTGTGAAAATTAGTGATACTTGGTAATAAATTCTTATACCCCACCAGTTAGCATGGAGCTAACGCTATGCCAAAATTAACACACACCATGTTGATTTTTAAAGGGCGTGTATTTCACACAGGGTCAGCTGGTGTAAACCTCCATTACTTAGCAACATTAGCCTTGAAGCTCTAGCGCACAACTAAAGAGGCTAAATTAGCTAAATGTTAGCTGTTGGGCTACATTTGGGGTCAGGGTTGAATTTGTAATCGGTTCTCTAATGGCTTCTTTCTTTGTTTTCCCCTGTAGAGCTTCTGCTCGGATGCTGCTGAAGGAAGTGGAATCTAGAACCAGCCGCTAACGTCAGCAACGGGGCTAGTTGGTGCTAGAGTGCTACTAAAGTGCTTACAGTGCAGGTAGTAGTTATGGAACGTCTACTGCAGTGGAGGCACTTCTAGCAGTACTCTGGCTGTGGCTGTTCCCTACGCCCCACGCCCTGCGCACTAGCCCTCAGCGGCTAGCAAGCGCTAACTAGTGGCTTTGTGCTAAGGTGCATCTAGTGCAGATAGTGGAGTAGATTAGCACCTACTGCCCTAAGTGCTCCTTCAGGCACAAGGTCTGTGATGAGCGTCGTACGCACAACTTTTCCTCCATGTCTTTCTTGGCTTCTCTTCGTTTTTGGTTCCGTTCTCTGCTGGTTCTGCTCAGTTGTGCTACAAGAGAACTGTTTCTGTGTGGAACTGATGGTGGCAGCTGCCTTGTGATGCTATATCAACAGTTTAGACCTCCTAGCAACACAAGAAGAACTGGAATATTGGTGATAAAGTTCTTCTGGTGTTGTTCACAACTTAGCCATAAGGGAGAGATGCGTTCTCTTCAAGCTAGCTTACTTAGCTTAGCTTCCTTAGATTACTTTATCTTTTATTAGCTGTTCAGGTAGCTTCAGCTTTAACTGATATGAGCTGTAGCTTCTAGCTAGCTTTAGTAGCTTTGGCTTTGTAAGCTTTTCTCCAGATGCTGCTGTGAGCTTTAGATTTTCTAGTTAGCTTTAGCTGATGGTAGACTAAACTCATCAAACATAACCAGTGAAAAACACCAGTATTGGTGCAGCCTAATTCCACCTCCAGACTGACAGCGTGCTATGCTATATGATAGCATGACGCTACATGAAGCTCCCACCCTTTAGAGCTAAGCTTGGCCATAGCAGGTGTGCTAATCACAGCTCAAGCTGATCCCAAAACTGAGGGTAATTTTCATAGAAATGAATTTTAATTTTGCAGAATTTGATGTTTGAGCCTGAAGACTGTGAGGTTCTAAGGGGATGTTCTCGTGTGGATCAGTCTGAGCCTGAGCGGTACTAAAGTGCTTATAGTGCAGATAGTGTTTCGCTCGTCTACTGCACTGTGAGCTCTTACTGTACTTCTAGCTAAATGCAGCGGATGCAGACGAGGATAAATACAGGTTTCTCTTTCCACGTTACGGCCTGACTGAGAATTGGGGGTCCGGTACCGGTTCTGACGGTGCTAAGAATTTATTAGTTTTGTACTTCAGTAGTTCTAGTTAGCTAGTGCTTTACTGACTGATATGACGGTCAGCTTTCAGTGGCCGCACTTTCTAAACACAAACAGCAGAAAGTCAGTCTTATGTAATTTAAAATGTTGTAGCACTGGGGGTGGGGCTGCCCAGAATCCTCTGCGGTCTTGGGTTCTGTTAATTACCTCTTGTCTAATTTTCACGATTCATCATTTCTATGTTAAATCCAGGTTCCAGTCCTTGATTTTGTAATCACTCTGTAATCACAGCTCAGGTCTGAGAAGTGCTTAACAGTTCAGTAGCAGCAATTACAAAATCCAGGACTGGAATCTGGATTAAAGGTCAAAATTTGGTCTGCACCCTTAAAAAGGAAGGTTCTTCAAGGGTTCTTTAGTAGAGGGAGTGGTTCTGTTTTAAAACCATAAGTTCTATATAGAACCGTCCAATGCAAAGGTTCTTTGCATGCTGAAATGGTTCTTCAGATTGATGGAGAATGTGTTAAATGGTTGTATGTAGCACCCAAAAGGGTTCTGCTATTGTGATGTGAAGCTTGCATACAATAGCAGAACCCTTTTGTTGCTACATAGAACCATTTTCAAAGGTTCTATACAGAACCATAATCACATTCTCCATCAGGCTGAAGAACCATTTCACCATGCAGAGAACCCTTCAATTATGAAATGGCTTTAAATAGAACCATTCCTTTTACTAAAGAGCCTAGATTTTGCTGTATTTTTGGGCGATTGAGACGTCAAATGCTGCTGTTTTCTTGACTCAATTGGTCGTAATTATTTACGATATTTAGGCTAATAAAGGTAAATCACGGGTCGTCCGTATTGGCTGATGTTATGCGCATATGCTATATCGGTCTGACTCTGAATTACCTGTATACGCTCAATGTTCTATGGTCGCTTTTGTCTGAAAATTAATTGTCAATTAATTAATTTTATGTTCAAATGGCCAATAGCCCACATTATCAACGGTGTTGTCTTAATTTGGGAAATTTAGCTCAATAAGGCCGGCTTTTGAACATTATTCCTATAGCGAGATGTGTTAATCTCTTCAGGGGAAAATTTGGGGGAAAAAAAAAGTTCAGAAATGTAAATTTATTTTTGGACCTTAAGCTTAATGTTTCAGCTCTTCACATCACACAGTTTAAATGTACAACTTTCAATGTGTCCTTTTAGCGTTTAGCATTAACAGTGGGCTTTGAAGTTTTATTTATAGAAAATAATTGCAAATTTAAAAAAAAATTTTGCATTAAAATATTGGTTCAAAAAATTGTGATTGCCGATCTCCAAATCTTTCAGCTGTTTTATTTTGGTCATATTTAAACCTCGTCACTCCATTTCTTTTGTTTTTGTTTAGCTGTTCATGTTGTTTGAGCTTGTCAGGATAAATCTGACCAATAAAAACTGTAAACAGTTACTTAGAGAATAAAATCTTGTGACGTTGAAAGTTTTTCACCGTTTCAGGTTTGCAGGTTTTTTCCCTGAGATGGCGGCTGTGTTCGGAGCTTTTAAAGCACAGAGAGGTGATCATACGAACAGAGCTGGGTTTGTAGTCGACTGACCGCGCTGCCCTCGGTCAGTTTTGCAGGTTTGCATCCAGCTTGATCCGAAGTCCGCTGTGCAAATCCATGCAAAACTGACGGAGATGGTGAAAAGTCTCCAAACGCCACGGTTCTGATCCGTTCCTGCACAGACTGGGAGTGGTGCTAATGCTCTGTGTGTGGACGGTATTGCACTTGTCCCGGCCTGTGCAGGACTGTGGACGTTATCTCTGTGGGTGACCGATTAAAGGGACAGTTCGACAGATTTCCGCAGATTTTCCCCAGACATAGTCGACTATGGTTGGCAGTTTTAGCACTGGAGCTACGATGCTAATATAGCCAACATGTAATTGGTGAGAACATTATCCCACCAATTAGTGTCTGATGCTAATCTTGTCTCAGAGTGTGAAGGTGTTCAGTGTCTCTAATAGTCTTGATGTGGTTTCTGACTCTGTGTGATTCACTGTATCTATAAACATGGACTAAAGTACATTAGCATAGCTGAACACAGTAGCAGCCACCTGGAATACTGAGCTTTGTGTGTTGTGTTACACAGTTTAAGAAATCAGTCTAACAACGAGTAAACTTTTCTACAAAGTACTACACAGCAATTTTGATACTTCTTAACAAACAAATAAACAAACATTAGCAGCCACCTGGAATACTGTCTTTTGTTTGCCTGTTTGTTTTTTTTTGCACCTCTTTTCAGGTGTATATATTTCTATATAGTGTGGTGTTTTTTAGGTTAAATTTGGGTCTCTTCAGTATTTAAATGCTTAGCATGGGTTTTATTTCTATGTTTAAGTAATGTTGTATGTGATTCTTTTTAATTAAATCTGACGTTTTAAAAATGTCTGGTGTTTATTATTATTATTATTATTGTTTATTATAATAGACTACAAAGATTGTTAGCCTATTTAGCTGTGGCTGGTTAAAAAGTGCACTAAATTTGGTCAGATGTTCCCAGATATGAGCTGTGTTTTAATATAACACTCTTCAGTCTGAGAGACTTTGACTTTGTGCCTGGTTTTATTACAGCTGTCAGGTTTTTAGGCTCTAACCTTTCACTGGTGTTATGGAGTCCTGTGATTAGCTAATTAGCGCTTAGCCTGATGCTCTTGGTCAGACTCCTTCAGATTTCTCCTCTGAGTGTTTCCTCCTCCTGCTGTAACTCGTACTGTAGGTCTCAGACTGCGCCTGTCTCTGTCTGGGGCTCATCCTGCACCCCTTGACTCGCTCATTCGCTGATTAGCAGCTGCTCGTTAGCTGGACCAGCAGTGGAGTTCATGCTAACACCTGCGCTAAGAGGAATCCTGTATCTTGTTCTTGGTGAATTAAAACAGTTCTGACTGATTCAGGCTGTTTTCCTGCACTTTTTTAGATTTGAGTTTAAGGAAATCACATCTAAACAGCATTTTAAAAATACTTAAGATCAAATTAATGAAGGCTGATCAAAGCCTGTGATACAGTCTGTAAGCACTCAATAAAATACTGCACACAGCTGTGTGGAAACCAGCTGTTACTAAAACTGGTGCATGTTTAAAAGTCAGAATGAGCAGTTTAGACATAGAGATACATTACATGGACTTTACTACTACTAATAATAATACTACTAATAATAATAATAATACAGCAGCACTGCTGTGTCTGATCCACTCAGACCAGCACAACACACACTAACACACCACCACCACCACGTCAGTGTTGCTGCAGTGCTGAGAATGACCCACCACCCAAACAGTACCTGCTCTGTGAGGGTCCATGGGGGTCCTGACCACTGAAGAACAGGGTGAAAGGGGTCTAACAAAGTATCAGAGAAACAGATGGACTACAGTCTGTAACTGTAGAACTACAAAGTGCACCTATATAGTAAGTGGAGCTGATAAAATGGACAATGATGTAGAAACAAGGAGGTGGTCTGATCGGTGGGTGTTCTTTCTATTTTTTATTGCAGTCACATTTAGAAGTTTTTCTACTCCTAGACATTTGAAAAGTACATTCATATAATAACACATTTTATTTACTGACTTCTTTTTTTTACTTTTTACCATGCTGATAAAGTTCAAACCATACAGTCTCACAGTCTGTGAGTAGAATGGACTTATAATAATAATAAGAGGAAGAAGAAGAAGAGGAAGAATGACACCACATGCTGTGTTGTCAGCAGGGTGCACATCTCGGGTCCGCCGGCAGATGTCGCTGATGTTCTCAGTAGGAGCGCGTGTGTCCGGGCTGGAGTGAAGTGGGAGTGTAAACTCGGCGCTCTGTTGACTCTCGCGCGCCGCTCGCGCTGCCACTCTCCCACTCTCAGTCAGTGAGTGAGTGAGTTCACCTGGAAGTCTGAGATTAACTGGATTAAACCGGATTAAAGTCTCTGTGAGGATCACTGAGGAGCCGCTGATCATCATAATGATGGAGCTGGAGCTCGCGCTGCTGCTGTGACCCGGCTCCCCTCGCGCTGCTGCTGTGCCGTGTTGGCTCGTGCTCGTGCTGTGCTCCACTCCAGGGTCGCGCTGGTGATGATGGCTCTCCGGCTGCCGTGGCTCGCTCTGAGTCTCGCGGCGCTCGCTCACCTGAGCGCGAGCAGTCCACACACGTGCGCCGGTGTGAGGAGAGAGTTCGTTCTGCGCCAGGTGGGAGAGGGCAGGAGCGTGCCGGACGCACCTCGGACAGGTAAGAGGGGCAGACAGGACGGACCTGCTGGACACACAGCGGGGCAGTTCTGTGTAAACAGAACCACCTGGAGTGCCGGACAGTGGGAGGCAGCGGGTTTTATATAGTTTATATATTTATCCACATATTTTATTAAAAACAGTGACTGCAAACTTCTGAACAGTAGAGCAGGTGGGGCAGGTAGGGGGCGGGGCAAACGCAGGGGTCGTGTATGGGTTGTAGAGTGGCCTTGGGGTCGGATACAATCTACAGAGGTCAGATTTATTAAATCTAGACCTTGAATCCAGTTTCCGTCGCGGTCAGGTAGATACTTGAGGACAGGCGTGGAGGTCAGGTAGAGCTCTCTGTGATGGTCATGAAGGTCAGGTGAGGTCTTTAAGATGGACGTGAAGATCAGGTGAGGTCTTAAGGATGGACGTGAAGGTCAGGTGAGGTCTTTAGGATGGGCATGAAGGTCAGGTGAGGTCTTTAAGATGGGCATGAAGGTCAGGTGAGGTCTTTAAGATGGACATAAGGTTCAGATGAGGTCTTTAGGATGGATATGAAGGTCAGATGAGGTCTTTAAGATGGGCATGAAGGTCAGGTGAGGTCTTTAAGATGGACATAAGGTTCAGATGAGGTCTTTAGGATGGATATGAAGGTCAGGTGAGGTCTTTAGGATGGGCATCTTAAAGACCTCACCTGACCTTCACAACCATACTTTTTCAGTGTGTATGTTAGGGAGACATTGTGAAACCAGGCAACACCTAACTGCCCAAACTTCTCCACAGCTCTGAAAGGAAGAGTTTAGCAGGTGTGTTGGATTCCCAGCAGGTGCTGAGACATAAACACATCAATAACAACAATAAGCATGTAAACACACGTTTACTTGGCTGTGTTTGTAAACAGCAGGATCAGAGCCTGTGAGAGCTGAGAGGATCTAACTGCTGTGTGGATTAGACCTACGTAACCCTGCGGACACGCCCACTCACATTTTAGAACAACAGTGAAATCAACAAATCAGACTTCTGACAGGAGCTACTTAGACTCCGCCCACCAACGGCACACCTGATTGGCTCCAACACATTAACGAGGACTCCTGTTCCACTAATAGTAATTAGGATGATTAGTGACTGAGCTTCATCTGCTCTCTAAGCTTCACTGAACGTCTACATGAGCAGTGCATGATGGGAGTGTAAAGGATTCACGACATGAACTTTACTGTTAACACTTCCCTCAGAAACACATCTCAGGCACTTACACTGAAATTATCATGTTTGTTTATGTTGATATTTCCAAACTGTTGTGATCTGCTGATTGTTTGCCAGCGCAGGTGTCATTAGGCACTGGTGCCCTGTGTTTTCACTCATTCTGCTCAGGTACTGGTCTGATAAGGTGGGTGATTTTGGGGAATTTAAGGCCTAAAAAGATTTTCTTTTTACTTTTGGATCTTTTCACAGCTGAACGGCTCAAACTGCTCCACAATCAGGAGAAAAACCAGCAGTACAGAGAACTGGAGCCGTGCATTTCCTGAGGACACGCAGTCGGTCTAACAGCTTAAATGGTTCCCACTTCCTGCTAGGTTGTTGCTAGTTTCTATGGTGGTTTCTCTGGTGTTGCTAAGTGGTTGCTATGGTGTTACTATGTGGTTGCTAGGTGGTTGCTGTAGTTTTGCTGTGTGGTTGCTAGGTGGTTGCTATGGTGTTGCTGAGTGGTTGCTAGTTGGTTGCTATCGTGCTGCTAAGGTGTTGCTATGGTTTCCCAGGTTGTTGCTATGGAGTTGCTAAGTGGCTGCTAGGTGGTTGCTATGGTTTTGCTGTGTGGTTGCTAGGTGGTTGCTAAGTGGCTGCTAGGTGGTTGCTAAGTGGTTGTTAGTTGGTTGCTATGGTGTTGCTGTGTCGTTGACATGGTGTTGCTAAGTGGCTGCTAGGTGGTTGCTAAGTGGTTACTAGGTGGTTGCTTTGGTGTTGCTGTGTGGTTGCTAGATGGGTGCTAAGGGGTTTCTGTGTGATTGCTAGGTAGTTGCTATGGTGTTGCTGAGTGGTTGCTAGTTAGTTGCTTTTGTGCTGCTGAGGTGTTGCTATGGTTTCCCAGGTGGTTGCTATGGTGTTGCTATGATGTTGCTATGGTGTTCCAATGTGGTTGCTAGGTGATTGCTATTATCTTACTAAGTGGATGCTAGCCTGTTGCTATGGTATCACAGGTTGTTGCTAGGGTGTTGCTTGGTTGGTGGTTGCTATGCTTGTCCACTGCCACCTTAAATCTCCTGCTACCTTAAATCTGCTACCTTATGTCTAGTGCCACATTAAATACACTGCTACCTAAAATCTCCCACTACATTAGAGGTTTGTGTGTGTTTTTGTGGTGTGTGAGTGTTTGGTGTGTTATATGTGGTGTGTTCAGTGTGTGTGTGTGTGTGAAAAAGAGCTGCAAAATCCCATTGCTACACAGAATCTTTGCATCTGATCAAAAAGCTTTATACAAGCCCAAATCACACAATCAGACCAGGAGTTGGAACAGTGCTGATATCTCGAAAACTGCAGGATGAGATACGCGGCAAAAATCCTGCAGAAAAATAACAACAATAAAAGAGAAGAATAATTTAAAACGAAGAACAATACAGCAAAGCAATGCGCAACCATAAAAAAAAGAAAACCTTAATCAGATAAAAGGATCATTAAAATACCTAAAATTAAGCAATAAATAAATAAATCACTGCACACATTTTCCCAACATCTCGTTTGATTTCCTGCCTGCTGACCTTTCCCGTGTCTGTGCTGGAAGTTAAGCCAACAGAAGTGATTGAAGTCTTCAGATGCTGGAGTTTGTAGATCTGATCTGGAGTTTCTTCACAGCGCTGAAGTTTGAGAGCACAACGAGTTTTGTTTTTTCCTCTGATCCATCTTATCCTGCCATCTCCAAAGGGCGAGAGAGGAGAGGCTCAGCGCCAGAGTTTTTTGGAGTAATGTACTGTTTACTGTCTGAGTGCCAAAAAAAGCAGCACCACTTTACTTTACAAGACAGCGCTCACTGAGGGAGACGGAATAATCTCCAGCTTTGTATGCAGGGCTTTATGGAGTCAGACTCGGCAGGCCGGACTGTGAGAAGTGAAGAGAGATTTATTTGTTGTCGTTAATCATCGTTGCTGATGTGTGACTTGCAGCATCTCTTTGGCTTGAACAGAGGCTCCATGTGACAAGTGTAAATGCTAATCAGTGAACACCTTCAGTCATTCTAAACTGTATAGAGTTCACTTGAGCTGGCAGTCGACCCCCAGCTGTTACAGCAACGAGGAGACAGTGGTAGTTGACCGCTGTGTGATGATAAGGCTGGACATTAGGGCACAGTGAGGACAGGTAAGAGCTAAAGACTGACATATCAAGGACAGATAAGGGCTAAAAGCTGGACACTCTGCAATAGATGGGAGCACTCCAAGAACAAATAAGAGCAGCTAAAGCTGGACACTCTGAGGATAGATAAGGGCTAAAATCTGGACAGACTAAGGACTGATAAGAGCTAAAGGATGGATACAGTGATGAAGGCTAAATGATGCACAGTCCATTGAGAAATATGTGCAAAAGGCTGGACAAATAGGACAGAAAAGGAATAAAGGATGGACACACTAAGGACAGATAAAGGCTAAAGGCTGGTCACACTGAGGACAGAAAAGGGCTAAAGGTTGGACACACTGAGGACAGATAAAAGTTAAAGGATGGACACACCGAGGACAGTTAAGAGCTAAAAGCTGGACACACCAAGGACAGACAAGGGCTAAAGGATGGACACACTGAAGAGAGATAAGATCTAAAGGATGGATAAAGTAAGGAGAAATAAGAGCTAAAGGATGGACAAAACGAGGATAGATAAAAGCTGAAGTCTGGATAAAACGAGGAGAAATAAGGGCTAAGAGCTGGACGCTCCGAGGACAGATGAGGGTTAGGGCTGGATAAAACGAGGAGAAATAAGGGCTAACAGCTGGACGCTCCGAGGACAGATGAGGGTTAGGGCTGGATAAACGAGGAGAAATAAGGGCTAACAGCTGGACGCTCCGAGGACAGATGAGGGTTAGGGCTGGACAAAACGAGGAGAAATAAGGGTTAACAGCTGGACGCTCCGAGGACAGATGAGGGTTAGGGCTGGATAAACGAGGAGAAATAAGGGCTAACAGCTGGACGCTCCGAGGACAGATGAGGGTTAGGGCTGGATAAACGAGGAGAAATGAGGGCTAACAGCTGGACGATCCGAGGACAGATGAGGGTTAGGGCTGGATAAAATGAGGAGAAATGAGGGCTAACAGCTGGACGCTCCGAGGACAGATGAGGGTTAGGGCTGGATAAAATGAGGAGAAATGAGGGCTAACAGCTGGACGCTCCGAGGACAGATGAGGGTTAGGGCTGGATAAACGAGGAGAAATAAGGGCTAACAGCTGGACGCTCCGAGGACAGATGAGGGTTAGGGCTGGATAAACGAGGAGAAATAAGGGCTAACAGCTGGACGCTCCGAGGACAGATGAGGGTTAGGGCTGGACAAAACGAGGAGAAATAAGGGTTAACAGCTGGACGCTCCGAGGACAGATGAGGGTTAGGGCTGGATAAACGAGGAGAAATAAGGGCTAACAGCTGGACGCTCCAAGGACAGATGAGGGTTAGGGCTGGATAAACGAGGAGAAATGAGGGCTAACAGCTGGACGATCCGAGGACAGATGAGGGTTAGGGCTGGATAAAACGAGGAGAAATGAGGGCTAACAGCTGGACGATCCGAGGACAGATGAGGGTTAGGGCTGGATAAACGAGGAGAAATAAGGGCTAACAGCTGGACGCTCCGAGGACAGATGAGGGTTAGGGCTGGATAAACGAGGAGAAATAAGGGCTAACAGCTGGACGATCCGAGGACAGATGAGGGTTAGGGCTGGATAAAACGAGGAGAAATAAGGGCTAACAGCTGGACGATCCGAGGACAGATGAGGGTTAGGGCTGGATAAAACGAGGAGAAATAAGGGCTAACAGCTGGACGATCCAAGG